TATGTTACTGCCTAGCTGGCCGCCCACTTAAGGGCATACTTGTCATTACTCTAACATTAATTCTTAATAAAAAGGATTAGAGGAGAAAGGGAAGATAATTCGAATCTTCCTCTTCTTCCTTCTCTTTTCGCCATCTTCTCTTACTTCTCTTCTTCCTTTTTTTCCTTCTAATCTTCAAATTTACACCTAATATTTGAGGACTGATTTACATCTCTTTATACTTATTAATTAATAATTATTATCTTTTCCAATTCGCAATTCCCCATTGTGCTTTGGGCCCATCCTAGCTTTTAATTAATAATAGTTAATTAAATTGTCTAGAGACTCTAAACTACTAAAGTATTAAAACCTAGACTAATTATAAATTATTCATTAATTGTTTGTGAAGAATGGGTGTAGTTGTTTTAATAATTAGTCATTAAATTGTTTATTAAATGAATGTAGTTGTATTAATTGTTCATAAAAACCTGGACAAAAGACTAATAATTAATTGCTCATTAATTATTAAAACCGAAACCAAAAACTGAACCAAACCTAACTGAATTCAGCTAGGGCCGATTTGGTTCGGTTCAATTGGGAAAGGTGGTAAAACAGAATAGTCAATCAGGTCCTCGGTTCTAACCGAACCGACCGATTGTACACCCCTAATACATACATATTACATTATAGTGTTTATTTTGAAAATATTGAAACTAATAGATCTAAAATATTATTGTCTTCTAGATATTATGACCTGCCATGTTTTTTTTCGATTGGTAACAACTAAAATTTTTAATAGTAAAAACAATATGTACAAGTACAAAGAAAGTGTAGTTTGACAAGTACCTACACTCAAGAAGATTTATACAAAGCATTCCCTACGAATCTCCACCCAATACATTTAAGATCTGTTAACCTCTTGCCTAGGCAAAGCATCAGCCATACTGTTAGCACTTCTACAGACTCATTGAAAAGTAGCCATCATTTCTGCTGCCAACTTACTAATTTCCCCCAATACATATCCATATATCCATGTGCCTTGTGTATTATCTCTCAACCATGCCACCACCATTTTGGAGTCTCCCTCAATATATCTGTATGATCTGCCATGTTTTGAGAGGAAATTTAATGTTTTTTTTTCATAGATAAGGAAATTTAATGTTATTAATAAACAGAATGGTTATTGTTTAAATTTATAATGCATGCTATTGGTCTATAAACAAGGGAATTAACCCAGAATTTAGATTTTATTTTAAAATGTTACACCACCTAGCCTAGGCACCCACTTAGGTGACTAGGCAACTAGGCACTCCACTGTCTACTAGAATCACCTATATGCCTTCACAAGTATGCCCCTTTCCCAAGATTCGGCTACTGCCATGGCAGAAATTGAGCAATTTACTTGGTTTCTGTCACAAAAAGAGGGCAATACAACACCTTCCAACCCTTCATCCACTGCTTTTGGAAGGTCTTGTAAATGCTCATCTTGCATCCTCTTCCCACTCCACCCATTCTTGAATCATGGATTCTTCTAATCACGGGACTAATAAGTTATGAGCATTCATTCATATCAATTATGTTCAAGTGTATTCAGCTAGTATATGCACCAGCTCCAAGTGGCACATCATGACATAACTAGGAGGATTCTTGCTTACTTGAAGGTTACCCCAAGCAAAGGGGTATTGTATACAGATGATGGACACTAGAAGCAAGAGTTAAGATGTTGATTGGATTGGCTCAGTTGATGGTAAGAGTTCTAGATCAAGATACCACATCTTTGTAAGTGGTAATGTACTAATGTGTCATGGAGGAACATGAAATAGCCAGAGCCAGGTATAGTGCCAAGGCAGAATAAAGGTTAGGTGTTGAATCCTAAGGACCTATAAGGTTATATTATGATAACCAAGTTGCCACTACATTGGATAAAATATAGTCCAACACAACAAAACCAAGTACATAGAAGTTGGTCGGTAGTTTATAAGAGGAAAGATTATTTCTAGAGACATTCCTTTTGTAAAATCAGAAAGTCGGCTAGAATATGTTCTCACAAAAAGGAGTGCTTAAACCTAAATTTGATAGCTTACTTTCTAAGCAGGGCATGCTCAACATCTGCACTCAGCTTTAGCCTTTAGGGGGAGTGTTGAGTTATTAAGTCTATAAATGGGAGTCATATGTATGAGGGCTGTCCAGTCATTTAACTCCTATTATAAATACTAATATGAGGGTTGACTGCCCAAAATTTGTTTTTAGTCTCAAAAGCAGCTTTGTATCTATTGATTCTCTCCCCCTTTACTTCTTTCCTTCTTTTCTCTTCAGTCAATACTCAATAACGCATTTATACTCATGGTAAGAGTTTCTCATTGTGTACCGTCCAGTGAGAAATTCAAAGCTATCACTATGGATGAACTAAGGGGATGGAAGATAGTGGCAGGGTATTCATTGAGAAGATAACATATGAATGCTGAATGTAGGGCATCTAAGCATGGCAGATTAAAACTGGACTTTAATGGTTGCTCTCTGGGTAACCAAGGTATCAAAATATAGGGGGAATAACTAGAAATGATAGGGCATACATTGTTCTAAGCTTCTCAGGACCAGATGGGTTTGAAAACTCTTTGAAAGTGAAATTACTAATAGTACTATAAGGCAAGGCTCAAAGTATCGACACGTATTGGCCCGTATCGGCCGATACGTATCGTTCCGGGATCCCTCTGATACGCCCCTACATTGGGTGTATCGGAGGTCTGACCAGTTCAGGGGGTAGAGGAGACCTAAACCACCCCCCTGAACCATTGCGAAAAAAAATAAAAAAATAAAAAGCAATAAAAATGTGTATCGATTCGCCCAATATGCCCCTACCGGCGTATCGATATTTTGAACCTTGCTATAAGGGTTAAAATTTGCTTCAGAGTTGTCACAAGTTAGTTGAAATCTAAGAAAGATGTTTCTTGAACTGCAATTTTTGTTAAACATGCTAGAGTTTTGAGGCTCAGCTTGAATTACTAATTCAGTATTGCAGGTTCTCTAGTTAGGGCATGAATCTCAAGAGAGAAGTTATGTTGGGGGATGAATGGTGAGCTAGGACTGGAGGATCTATGTCAAGAAAATAGTTTAGGAAAATATGGCTTTAGCCTTTCTGTTGTTTTTCCACCATGCATGATAAAATATTGTACAGTAGTAGATTATTCTTATTATAAATAATATAATAAAGAACTTTTTTTCTGATTGGTTGAAATTATCAATTACTGCTGCTTATCTAAAAAATAAGAAAGAGATTTTATTCATGATACATCAAGAGAAACTGAAGTAAAACTATACAAAATGATCCCTAATGCCAAATTCACAATTTAATAAATAAATAGGAGAAACATTAAAAGCAAGAATAGCAAAGGCGGAAATGTCTACATATTAAATAAAAAATTACCTCAAGAATGGCAGTCCATGTATCCAACAAGATGTCCCTTGCATACCAACTCCAAGTTTCCTCCTCATTGTTATTAGCTAAACAGGCTTTCACAGCTTCACACATCAACGCAGATAACAGGCTAAGGGTACCAAAAGTGCTGAATATTCAGACAAAAAGTCAACTATGTGGAAGTGAAAAATACCATTCATAACACATAAATAAGCTTGTGTTATGGGCAAGAAAACCAATTGAAAAGATGCAAACTAAATTCTACTTTTTCATTAATATTGCAGTAGTCCATAACTCCATATTAGATGACAATGTTACAGGTCAAATGCTAAGAAAAACTAAAAAAGCTGATTAACTATGACATTTTTTGATAGGTCTCATTGCAACATTCAAATACCAATTTAATAAAATAATGAATAATAGATGGAGAGAATTTAAATACTACTGCAGAGTATTCCCACTGACCTTATAGATTTCAGAAGCTGGTGAAAAATCATAGGAGTAGTCAAAGTTGCTATAGAGAGTAATGCCCGGCAACCATCAAGAAGCTCACTAGAACCAAATCAGACAATGTTAGAAGAAAACGATTGAACATTAAATAAACTACAAATAAAATGTAATTTATGGTAACAACCTTTCACTTTTTCCACATTCAATCGCACTTGAAATAGCATCAGGAGGATCAATCCATTGGATAATTCCAGACAGCATTTGAACCAGGTGATGCTGTTGTGTTTGCCCATTGTCTACAAATTCCAGATAGCATTTGAACCAGGATTAATCCATTGTCTACATTGAATAGAAATATGGAACTAATAGCCAATCAACTAAAACATGTCAAGAAAAGAGAATTCCAACATGTAACTTAGCTAGCTTTTATACAATAAAAAATTTTATTAAACGTTTAATGTGTTTGACCATCAAGTTTTAATTAAAAGGCATCAAGGCATTGCATTTATCAATATCATGGAMTTTTTCATTTTTCCTGTCAACCATTAATTATGTAAGCAATGAAGAAAAAAGAGCATTAACTTTATTAAATGACATTATTGATGGCAAAGAATTTATTGATGTTGCAGTTATGCAAGACCATACCAGCACATTAGCTACCAGCAATGATGGGTTTCAAATTCCCAAATCAGCCCTAAAGGTGCCATCAAGCAAATCATTATTTGGGCATCTCAATGGCTTCAGTCTTCTCGAAGCCCATAATTAGGCCAAAGTTCATAACTAGGTCTATATCCAGACTCATACTTTCATCCATATCCATCGTATGGACGCCCAAACCTTGCAGAATAAAGGGGAAATTTTCAAAAATTTTTCTCTCCCTTTCAACTGGGAATCGCATTCCCTATTTAGAAAATCATATTTTTAAGGATCAATCTTGAACCATAAACTGAATCAGATCTGAACCAAAAGGAGTAGGAGAAGATTATACCTGATACGGAGAAAAAGTATCTCCCAACGAATGTGTTCACGCCCAAGAAAGGTTCCAAAGACTGCTCCCACTGAATATGGCGTAGTGTAGGATGTAGCAGAATCAGCAGCGTTCTTCTCCAAGAACTCTGTCCTTCGCAAGAAACAGCAAGATGGCACGTGCGCACAGCTTCCTATCAATTCTTTCTCCAAGAACTGATGTCAAGATCGAATCTTGACTTCTCCCACAACTAGAGATTGAACTGGATGACTGGCGGCTGYAGGAAGGAGGCGGCAAGAAAGATCTTTGCAGGGATTGCAGAAATCTTTCTTCTGTGATTTCAGCTCTGAAGAGAATGTGAATGTCTCTAAAGGCTGCCGCCCCCTCCTTTTGTAATCCAAAAAGATCAGCTCCTAATCCAATTAGGAGCTGCTGATCCAAATCATATTTGGATCAGACCTCTCTTCAGGTGATAAGGATAAACCCTTATCTTATCTGCAGATTAGATCAGCCTTCTCCTAATCTCATTAGGAGGTTTCTAGATCTGAATCATATTCAGATCTGAACTCTCTGAGTGGATAGGGCTAAGACATTATCCTATCTACTGTCCATCTCAGAATTCGCCCATATTTAACTTATTAAATAAGTCCAGTTCGAAATGGGTTTTAGGCCCATTAAGCTTATGTGCTCACTTAACCTTCCTAACTGCTGCCCAGTTGGGCTTCCTTGTATGGCGTGGGACCCAAGCATTGATCTACACATCAGCCGCATTGGTTCAGCCCAGCCTTTGTTACAAGGCCTGGCCGAATACACTGTTATGGACAGTGCACCCCCTAAAACCCATCAAATGGACTCTATGGGCCCAACATTTACCCTAAGTGGTCCGTGGGCCAAGCCACCTTTTAACACCCAGGGACTGTGGGTAGATGCAAGATTAGCCCATCAGGTATTATCCTCAATGGTCTTACACTTAACCTCTCAGCCCATAATGATCATACACTGCTCGACAAGAGAGGACCTCTCCCTCG